TTACTCTTAATACTTTATAATAATCAGAAACTAAAACCATCAAAATGCTTCTGGGAACAGTCCATCCAAAATATCCCAGAGGCTGAGGCAGGTGCAACGTCGGCTGCCGGTATTCGAACCTGGAAACTGTCCACCTCTTCTGTTCCCTTCCCTCCCAGCCCATCTTCATTACAGATCTTCATCATCAAAGGTCTCCGTGCACCTCAGCATTATTATCTCATCATCCTCGGGAACGTCTCCTTCCTGCAAAACACAGGGTGGAAGAGGGTTACATTTTTCTTCAAGGATTCCTGGCCCCAGACAGAAGAGGAGGCCCCACTCTCTCAGGCATGCCCTGCTCCCTCAGTGTCTACCCGACATCTCTTCAGCTGCACCTTCATCTCCAGCTTCCGGCCAGGAAGGAAGGTCAATGGCAGGAAACTTCCACTTCCGTTTCACTGTGTGACCTCTAGGAAGGCTGTTCCTTCCTACAGCAGAACTGGCTTCTTCCCTATCCTGGGGACCTCCAGGATCCCATAAGAGAGATGGGAAATCTTAAATCTTTATGCAACTACCCATCAATAGAGGATGGTGAACTACACCATCCTGTACCCACCCATGGAATACCATGCAGCTGTTTCAACAAAAGGAATGCAATCGCTCTTGATCCCTGGGATATACTGCTAAAAAGGGGCAAGGTGCAAAGCAGTGTGCGTAGTAGGCCATCATTTATGTTTGAAAGAATGTGTGTCTGTAGAATACCTTTAGATGGTTGCACAAGAAACGGGTAATGGCAGTTGCCTTTGGGGAAGGGAATGTGTCGTAACCAAGAGACGCTGATAGGAAAGAGACTAAGTTTTCTCTGTATTGGGTTGTCAGGAAAGTCATGACACATTTTTGCAGCGAAAAAACATAGAAAAAATACGTCATGACTTTTCCGACAACCCAGTATATCTTTTGGTAATTTTTGAACTTTAAACCATGTACATGGGGTAGCCATTAGGAGCTGATTTTTCAAAGAAGCAGCATTATGTCTGTTTAGCAAGGGTTTCTCATTCCCATTTATAGCAACCCCAACCTCTCCAACTCCGCATGACCTCTTCCCCCAAAAGTACGTCCTGGGGTTTCTGCTCTTCCGGTCTCTCCCCACCCCAGCAGGAAACGACCCCTGTAGTTCGTTAGCCCTGCTGCTCTGGGGTTGATTCCGCTTGGGAAGCATCCCCAGTTAACCATCTCATGAATGTGGGACCTGGTCCCCAAAGGTGATGGCCAAATTGGGGGATGAGTCTACAGAGGAAGGCTTCCCAGCTCTGGGCAATGGTTCTCATTCTCCATGCTCTTCTGATGGCGGCGGGGTCCCCTTGGAGCCAGCGTATCTGAAAGTGGGGATGGGGTAATCAAAGGAAAACCACCCGGGCCTTTTGTTCAGGGTGAAGAGAACAGCAAAGGTTGAGAAAAGAGGGAGTCAGCGTGTGGAGGGTGCCAGGAGGCCACGCGTCCTGGAGGGAGCCACATGCTCAAGTTTCTGTCACACCAAGTGCTTAAATGTTGTTCAGAGTGTTCTAGTGCCTTAAGCCCCTGAACATGGTGTCAGAGGCATGTCTCAGCCTGAGGTTTGCACAAGCAACAGGCTGTGAGAGATGTCTGCTGGAAGTGGGTGCTGAAGCGTGTTGAATGGTGTCTCCCCGAAATTCATGTCCAACTGGAACCTTATTTGGAAATCGGGTCTTGGCAGATATAACCAGTTACAGAAGTCAAGGTGAGCTCATCCTGGATTTAGGGTGGGCCCTGAATCCAAATGACTGGTGTCCTTACAAGATGATGAGAGGGACAGAGACACAAAGGAGAAACCTGGGTGAGGACAGTGGCTGCCACTGGAGTGATGCAGCTACAAGTCGAGGAAAGCTGAGGGCTGCGGGAGCCGCCGGAAGCCAGGAAAAGGCAAGGAGGGGGTCTTCCCTCAAGCTTTCAGAGACGGCAGGACCGCCACCACTTTAATTTGGCCTCTGGCCTCCAGAACTAGGGGAGAATAAATTTTCTTTGTCTTAAGCCACCAAGTTTTTGGTAATTTGTTACAGTGTCCTAGGAAACCAATACAGGTGCTAATTAAGTTTCACCCAGCTACCTCCCAGGAAGCTGACAGGGAAAGGTGGGTGGGGAAATGATTGAAATTTCCCTTTTCACACCAGTGGCTGTCAAAGCCGGAGGCCTTCTGCACCTCTTGGGCAATTTGTTCAAAATACAGATTCTTGGGGACCCTTCTCGAAACACTGAATTCAGGATCTTGGGTGCTTGGGCAACAGGAACCTGCATTTCTAATAAACTCCCCAGGTGATTCAAGCTTGAGTGCCTCTGCTTTATGTGGACACTCCAGTCCCTGCTGGTCCAGTTTTTTTTTGTTTTTGTTTTTCAGCTGAGCCATCCTGCCACCTGTTGGTAGCTCAACTCGGGCCAGGAATGGAACCATCAACCCTGTTGATAAGAGCTCGCGCTCTTGAGCGAGCTCTTAACCAACTGAGCCACTCGGCCGGCCCAGAACTCCTGGTCCTTTCTTTTCTGCCCTGTGTGCAGAAAGGAAGCAGGGAGAGAAAAGAATGTCCTGTTAATGTATTCTAAAAGCCCATGAAGGATTAGTGGGAAAAGGGCCAAATTAGTCCTTTAGCCTATTGAAAAGTTGTCCTAATTATTTTTAGACAACATTTTCATGATTACCGTTTACCTTTTAAAATAGACAGTTGTATTTTTGCTAAATTAGTAGAGAAAAATCCATGGCTACCCTTTCATGTGAAAGGGCCTTGTCCCCTTGGTGACTCAGGCAAACCCTCCTCTTTCCATGAAAGCTTCCGGAATGAACCTCCTAACCAAGACCCCCACTACTTATGTCATGCTAAGCTGCACAGTCAACTTTTTTGGAAGCAGAAGTGCATATCCTTCCAGTGCTGACAGCAAACATTACCCCACAATCTCATGAAGACGAGGCAACAGCTCAACCACTTGGAAAGCTGTCCATGAGTGACGCAGTATTTAGGAATGCCTGTGGAGAGCCGGCCCTGGGACCTGGTTGCTACTTCAAGGCCTGCCCTGAAGAGCATCCCTCTGTCTCGCTCCTCAGTTTTTCCTGATGTCTTCCATTGTGCAGGATGCATTAGGCTGAAGTCAACCATCCATGGAGCAGGCCAGAGAGCATGAAAGAAGGGCCCCTTGTGATGTGACCCAGGTGAGGTCCGGCTGGGACTCCCCTCAAGAGCCCTTCTGGGTCCTAAGGGAGGCAAGTGGGGGTCCCCTTGCGCTCTGCTCTGTCCTACCTGCTTCACCTGGGTGTTGACACAGCAAAGGCCTTTAAAGAAGTTGATGATTTGCATATAGAGCTGAAACTTCTCCTCAGGGTTCTCTGGGTTGCAGCTGACATGCACTGAACTGACAACAGAGAGGAGGAAGATACAGCAGATGTTTAGAATCCTCATCTTTGACCTCTGCTTGGACCCCCTCCAGTTTTTGGATTACGGTGTGAACCAACCCCTTTTAAACACCCAGTTGGATTCGTGGAAAGCTGGGAGCCCTTGGAAGGTTTGCATTGCCTGGGCTCTGATGTCATGGCTGGAATCTGCTAGGAAAGTGAGACTAGAGGGAGACTGATGGGCTTGTGTGTCCTAATTCAGTGTCCTGAGCTGTGGCCTCCGGAACAAGCAAGTAAGATTTCCTCCCTCCCTCAGCTTCAAGCTCTACAGCAATGCCCCATGGCCCTGCCACCTGTGGGCACACCGCACACTTGAGTTCAGTCCCTTGAGATGCCTGCACCCAGTAGGTCTAACATGGTACATGAGCCCTGATGCAAAGAGAAGGCCTATTTTTCAGACTCCTTTCCCAGTGCCTTCCTGGGACAGGGAGAGAAGCCCAACAGCCAGGGCCACAGAGCAAAGAAGCTGTGAGTCACCCTGGGACAGCTGGCATATCGACCTCATGTCCCCTAGAATGAGGTCCCGGAGTCAGCTTAGGAACCCTCTGGCAGCAAGCAGCTCCTCCCTGCCTTTTCTAGGGAAACCAGAAAAAATAATTTTTTAATTGGATGGGGTTTTTTTTCCCCCCACCAGCAGGGTAAGCAGTTCCAAATATTGCTTGGCAAGTTCACGTTGGCAACTTCTCAGTAAAGTTGTTTTCACAGAGTATCTGCCTGCAGCCAGTTTCGGGAAAAATCAAACTCCACACACAGCGGAGAAGAGCCTGAGTTACCACCTAAAATCTCAGTAGAGGTTTGGGACAAGTGTGTCGAGGCCGGGGTGGTGCAGGTGGACTGGTGCTGATGCCTCATTTGCCTGCAGGCGGCCAGGGTACCAGGAACAGGTATCTGAAAAGCCTGTACCTTCAGGCTGTAAGACCACAGCTTTCCACAGCAGCAAGGGAATTTCAGTCCTGAACCAGCTCTCTCGGAGAAAACACCCCAGCTGTACAGATTTAGTCAAACTGCTCGTTTTCAAATCGCCCCAGATCTGGTTTTGTGTCTTCTCACTCCATGGGGTCAGCCATCCCCTCTCACCCTCCTCTCACATCCATTCCCTCCAGCCCCATGAAAAGCAGCTCCCCATCCCTTGTACGGCTCAGAGAGTCTCTGGAGTTCAGGGCACGGGGCCTGTTTCCATGTTGGCCCAGATTCTCTGTGTCCTGGAGGCCCCTGCCCAACTCTCTCAGACCAGACTGATGGCTGGAACCCGCCCACAGCCACCTCGCCCTGGGAGAACAGTGCAACATGAAACCTTCTGTGTCTCAGCCTTGGGCCGGGATGGAAGAATTTTCTACTCTGAAGAAGCCCCAGACAATATCATCCCCAGGTCAACGGCACAATCCTAGGACCAGCCCATTTCGAATCACAGAACAAAGTGGCCCCCTGACAACTTCCACTGAAACCCCTCTGAGGGGCTGCAGGGGAGAGGCCCCTGAACACCCCCGAACATCCCAGCGAGGGTACGCACACTCGCACACACACATACATCCAGGTACACTCACACACGCACATGCACACACACATGCACCCACCCGCCATTTCACATCCCTTCCTCACCTGGGGCTAGATGTATTTGGAGCCTCACTTTTGTCCAGGAAAGTTGCCACATCGAAGGCATCTTCAAAAAGGATCTGAAAGAAGAAGACACAGAACTTCACTGTGTCAGAGATAACTCTGCAGTCTGACGCTTGCTCTGGGCTGCTGGGGAAGACATGAGTGGGAAGAATCTCTCTCTTTACCCCTTATGTCCGAAGGGTGTGCTTGTTAAAGCTGGACCCAATCCCAGGGTCTCTGCTCCGTGACCTGCCCAGGTGGTGAATATTAAGCTCTTGCTCACCCAGAACAAACTGCCAACCCTCGAGGTGGCGGAGAGGACAAGGAATCCTCTGTGGGGACTGGGATCCTCTTTCTAAAGATGGCAGTGCTCAGGCGTGAGACGCAACAGCCAGACGAAAAGGGCTCATGTACACCTCCCAAAGAGGAGAAGCTATGTGAGCCCAGGATTGGCAATTTAGCAGTTTCGTGCCAGGGCAGCTGAGTATAGAGGTCAAGGGGGGTCTGGAGTTAGGCTGCAGGATTGCTGACGCCCAGCCCTGCCACTCACGAAGCTGTGTGACCGCAGACAAGTAACTTAATCTCTCGAATTCTCCTCTATAAACCAGAATCACAACAGTGCCTACTTACATGGTTGTTGCAAGGATTAAATAAGAGGATATATGTGAAGCACCTGGCCCATAATAATGGTGCAAACGTGTTCGCTATTATTGAATATTACCTGCTTCGTAAAAGAAACACATGTTCATCGTGGACATTTTGGAAAATAGAAACAGATAAAGAAAATACAAATCACTGAGAAACAATCCTACCCGGAGGGATCCGTGTTGACTTTTTGATCTACTTCCCTCCATTCTTTTCCTAGGCATATTATAATATATCACATTTTCCCAATTTTGGAATCTTGCTAGTTAGACAGGTTTGGGTTCTGTTTTCCCTTAATTTGTTGAAGAATATTAAATATCCCACAGGACTGTGACATACACTTAGGGTTGCCAGATTTAGCAAATAAAAATACAGGATGCTTAGTTCAAATTTGAATTTTAGATACGATATTGCAAGAGACATTCTTGCATTAGAAATTTAAGTTGCTGAAAATTTATATGGAGCCATAAAAGACCCC